CGCCTCCGTATCCCCCGCCACCGCCGCCGTACCTTCCACCACCCCCGCGGCCGCCCCTGAAGCCGCCACGGCCACCACCGCCCTGGTGGGAGAAAGACAGAATTTAGTCAAGTTAAAAAGGGCCATCAGGGGTCTCCCCAGGAATTATTAGGCAGAGGACGAGAGGTGCTCCCTAATCGGTTGATGGAAAAAATAATCCACAAATAATCAAACAAAATGTGGACATGTTATCTGTCCACAATCATACATGTTTTCTCCAAAGAATGTCAATAAGTAAAGATGCACATACAAATAAAACAACCACACTGTGCTTTTGAACATGTTGGCTATTTTACAGCTGTTGCTACTACTACTAGTATCTCACAGAAGATATATACTAGTATGAAAAACTGTTTTACCATCCATTAATAATATAGAACAACAAAACTTACTTCCTTCTTGCTGGCATAGTCCACACGGATCTAAAGAGAAAACAAGAGGCCAAACAACAAAGAATTAGACAGAGGACACAGATTTCTCATGGTAGTCGGCACCGGTCGGTATCTGTGTGTTTTTACAGCTGAACTGGCCTCACTGCTCATCTCACATCACTAGTGGAGTTCTGCTGGGAGCAAGGTGTTCCTGATTCACTCACAAAGTTCATAGACAGGAGTAGAACATGTTACACAACAAACACATCTCATTCTGCATGTCAGACATGACTACATCAACACCTGTGAGCTAGTCACTATTCTTAGCAGCTATGAAAGGAACACGGCAACTGCGGGAGGTCAAGTCAACTTTATTTCGGATTTGCGGCAGTCAAGTGGCTCTCAGCTGCTTAACAACATCCCCCTTCTGAGTATTTGTTTCACACAAGAGCAGCCCTTACTTGGTACAATGATTGACCTTCTCTGTTCTAGTATCACAACTTACAGGTAAAACCCAAAATGCTGTGTCAAAATTGACACAATTGGATAACATGTAAAACTTCGTCTTTGTAAAAAGACAAAGTTTTAAAATACCAAATCAATTTATCTTCTCCAAATGATACCAATCCCCTCCCAAGCATTTAGTACATTTGCCAAATGCACATTTACCCGTTCTAAAAGTTCATACCTCATATAAAACGCTGTAATTATATAGATTTTAATGCATAACTATTGCACATTTCTGCCTTCTGGTTCTAGGGCTTTGAGCTATATTAATGCCTGTCAGTTGAATACAGGAAAAAACAAAATTGGCACATGATCCAGCAACATGCAACTTTGAATTTCTGTATCATTCAAACTTTTGTAACTTATAATGCTATCACAGAATGTATGCGTCCGGCTGAATAACTTACAAACAAATCTGTGCCAGTCTGTCCATTTCCCATATTCGACTGAAACATAGTAGCAAAATTATCGGAGAGAAATTTTTTCATTAAGAGAATGAGAAATGACATGTTTTGTGTCTGTGTGTCCCAAGTATGGTGTGTGTGTGTGTTGAAATCTTCCTGTTGGGCCGTGGTCTACGTTATTTGAACTCAGACCACGCCCATTCCAGCGGCTTGCCGCTGTTCGGCCTCAATTCAGGACAATTTGTCCTTACCTGACCGACGCTTGGGTGGCTTGCCGACCCAGTTTAGTCGCCGTGGTTACACCGCTACCGCCGTCGACTCGAGGGGGTTGCCACCGCTCGCTTTAGGCTTACACCCGGAGCCGCCACCGCCACTCGTCCACTCCAACGGTCATCCTTCCACTAGCCCCTACCATCCAAAATCATTTTACTTTTTCCTATTACGAGTTGGACATTAACAGGCTTCTCTTATGCCACTTCTGGGCTGCTGCTAGGGGCTGCAAAGTTAGACAAGCATGCTTACTAAAGACATGCACAATACATTTTCACTATTCAATATTCTTGTCTGGCTTTTGTGATTTTTTGAAAGCCAAAAGGTTTATTTAGTACAGAGAATCCAGACTTCTCTTCGTTTCTCGTGTCCTTTTTATTTTTGGCCTGTGTCAACTCATTTTGGTGAATACTTCTCTGGCAAACTGCTGTTCCTATCCACTGCCATTTTATTGTCAAGCTACTTATTTTGTGTTATTCTTTGGTCTAAGCATTTCTTTTGAGCCAAAACTTTGCAAAAAAATTATACATCCTGTTCATTCTTTTTCTAAGTTTTGTATCTTTGTGCAACACTTTGATGCCAAAGAACTAAGATTTCATGGTTATTCATGGCAATCCTCTCTTCAAGTCTTTACTTTGGGAGCTTTCTCAGAGTCCACTGTTAAAATCACTTCTCGATTCCTCTGGTCTTGATCCTTTTTCGGTGTAACCGGTCCGAAAAATATTCCAAGCAGTTCGCGCGAAGTTCCACTCCTCTTGAAGACATTACTGGGTAGATCACGGCTATGAAAAACTAAGAAAAGTTCTCAATGCTGTGTCTACTTTGTCCACGGCTTCCCGGCTAATTTAGACAGAGTTAACATGTTGAAAGATGTTTTTAAAGTGTTCATCTTGTTGAGGCCTTTCTTGCTGGCCAATCCCACAGTATGGTGTGCTGTTTGCTGTGATGTCACACAATTCAAACCATTTACCTTCAATGTACAATGATTCGAATGAAGAAGAAATTTAGGATTTCTACTGAACCAAACAATTTCTTCCATAAAAGAAGGAACAATACTCGATACTCATGAACCACAATTATGGTGCATAACTAGCTGTAACATCTACTTCTCCAACTCAAAATATCTTGTTCTGCTCAAAAAATGTTGTTTTTCCTATAAGAGTAACCTTGCCAAAGTTAACATGAATATCTCAACTCTTCACATGAAAATCTTCTGGACAGAACTGAAAAAAAAAATCAGAATTTGAACTGTTGTTTCAAAGTATGGTGAAATGAGCTAAATGGCAATTGGAAGAAAACAGAAGATATAATCAACATATTTGAAAGCTGCATCCCATTTTTTTCCAGTGAGCACTTTTCACGTTTTTTTTACTTGAGCAATAGACTCGAAACATCTGATTGTCCAACATGTAATATGAAAAATTTTCATTTACACATAGGCAATGTGCATTGCAAATGAAACTCGCCCAAATGTCCAGAACACAGCTTGACAATACATTGACAGTTTAACATCTTAGGATGCATTGAGTACAACATGATTCAAGACAACAGTTGAGAGTTACTCTGTAACAAGCGTAATGTCTACAGTTCGGCTTTACCTGTCTACCGTCGAGCTCAGTCTCATGCATACACTTCTTTGCATTGGCAGCATCGCTGTCGTTTGAAAACGTTACGAACCCGAAGCCACTGCAAAACAAACAGAGATAAACATATCATTAGTATTACATTGAGATTTCCAAATTTTGCCTGCACCAGTCAGACTTTGAGAAGTATGGATCATACTAAAACTATTCAGAAACCAATGCCATTTATTTCTTTCATACTTCACATAAGTCATAACAGTGAATGCAACAAATAAAAATCCACATACACAATCCACTTTTGCATATTTATGAAACACATGGCCCTGCAAAGCCACTATTTTACCCACACTAAGTGTATATGCACCCTATGTTTCCATACCTGACATTGTAACACAATGGAACATATAAATGAAAAACAATGGTGTCCCTTACCGAGACCTGCCTGTCTCCCTGTCAGTGATGACCTTGCAGTCAATGATTTCGCCATACTCGCTGAAGGTCGATTCAAGGTTCTCTGTGAAAGAAAATTCAAGAAGGCATTCATAATTCAGACCATACAGTTTCAATTTCTTGTTGTCATGTCCAACTACTATCTGCTTAAGCACATAGGCCAATTTCTTTATATTTATGTCATTCTAAATTTGACACTAAACTATCTAAACATGTTGTAAGCAGTGTACTGCCATCAATAATATTTTGTACTACTACAGTAGATTAGCCTTGTAGTACTTTTCAACAACTGCCATATAAATTATCATATGCGCCTATTGTGCAATAAAGTATGTTCACAAAGTTATCAGTCTTATAAAAAAAGTTACTACATTCTCACCTGTTGTGGTGTTCCAGCTCAACCCACCAACATACAGCTTCCTACACACACAAAAATGCAAGAACATTTAGTAACACAACTTTAATTTAAATTTAATTTAAAGTTTCATTACAGATGAGTGAAAAAGCTAGGCTAAAACTTTTTTTTGATGAAAAAAAAAAGGACAAGTTATATTCTATTTAATCAAAGATGATATAATCACAATTCTTTGCAATTGTTTGACTATGGTGAGTAATGTAGATGTGTTAAAAAGATGCGTGAAATTCTTAAATCTTCTCTAATGTGTGAATGCTAAGTGCCTTAGTGAGCTTTAAATTGACTTTTACGCTCAATGTTTAAGTACACATGATGACATGAGAATTTTCACACTGGAACTCAAATCAAAGGATTGTTTGGTGCCGCAACATTGATGTAAAAATAACAACCTGGCAACTGCCTTTTAGTACGAGGAAAATGCATCTACTTGCATCTACTCTAGGTAAAGGAAACAAGGGGATGGTTGAGAAAGACCTAGACATCCTGCCTGGTAGACAACCAAGTTTCATTAAAACTCAGCAGCAGCTGTTCATAAGGCCAACCAGGTCCTAGGGTTAGCTAAGAGATCCTTTTCAAACCTAGATGATGGCCTGGGCCCCATTCTCTTCCATTCTACCATCTCTACGGTTATGCCATCTTCTGGACTTGAGTATATTAATGTGGTCTGGGGGCCGTACTTCGGTAGTGACCAGGCACTGATTGAGAAAGTACAGCAAATATGATAGGAGCAACAAGATTGGTACCCTCCCTACAGCAATTAACTTACTGTTCCAGGTTACAGAAGCTGAAGTTACTCGGATATAGACAAAAGATGGGGGACATGATATTAAAAGCTTAGAAGATTATGACAAAAAGAGAGGGGTGAACCTGAGGATTAAATTTAAATGGAGAAAACCAGGGGTCACGCCTCTAAAACTGAAGGTCCCCCTAACAAAGGCTGT